TTTTTTTTTTTTTTTTTTATGGAAATCAGTACGTGGCATTTTCTTTTCTCGTTTTTTTTTTTCTGGACTTCCACGTGTGTTTATGCGTTCCACGTAAGAAAGCATCTGCCGATTTTCTTTTTCGATTATACTAGATTTGCCATGAATATGTTAAAATGAACATCTCATATTATAAAATGAATATGTGTCGTTATAAAATGAAGTTCTCATCTTAAAAGATGAATATGTAGAATTCAGTCGAACATACTAGAATTTGACTCGATTATACTATATTTGACTCGATTATACTAAATTTGGCTCGATTATACTATATTGACTCGATTATACTAGATTTGAATCAATTATACAATAATTGATCGATTATACTAGAATTTGACTCGATTATACTAGAATTTGAATCGATCAAACTTGAGTTTGACTCGATTATACAAGAATTTGACTCGATTATACTAGAATTTGACTCGATTATACTAGATTTGACACGATCGTACTAGAATTGACTCGATTATACTAGAATTGACTCGATTATACAAGAATTTGACTCGATCATACTAGAATTTGAATCGACTATACTAGAGTTTGAATCGATGATACTAGAATTTGAATCGATTATACGAGAATTGGTAAGATCATATTAGAATTTGTATAGATTGTCCGGTAACTGAATAGATCATACAAGAATTTGACTCGATTATACTAGAATTAACTCGATTATACTAAGTTTGACTCAATTATACTAAGTTTGACTCAGTCATACTTTGTAAAATGAATACGTTATCTTGGTAAAATGAATATGTTGCTTTGTAAAATGAACACGTTACTTTGTAAAATGAAAATGTTCCTTTGTAGAATGAATACGTTTCTTTGTAAATGAATACGTTTGACCCAATTATAGTAGATTTGCTCGAATATACTACATTTTGACTCAATTATACTATAATTGAATAGATCACACTATAATTGACTCGATCGTACTAGAATTGACTCGATTATACTAGAATTTGACTCGATTATACTAGATTTGACTCGATTATACTAGATTTGACTCGATTATACTAGAATTGACTCGATTATACAAGAATTTGACTCGATCATACTAGAATTGACTCGATTATACAAGAATTTGACTCGATCATACTAGAATTTGAATCGACTATATTAGAGTTTGAATCGATGATACTAGAATTTGAATCGATTATACGAGAATTGGTAAGATCATATTAGAATTTGTATAGATTGTCCGGTAACTGAATAGATCATACAAGAATTTGACTCGATTATACTAAAATTGACTCGATCGTACTAGAATTGACTCGATTATACTAGAATTTGACTCGATCGTACTAGAATTGACTCGATTATACTAGAATTTGACTCGATTATACTAGATTTGACTCGATTATACTAGATTTGACTCGATTATACTAGAATTGACTCGATTATACAAGAATTTGACTCGATCATACTAGAATTGACTCGATTATACAAGAATTTGACTCGATCATACTAGAATTTGAATCGACTATATTAGAGTTTGAATCGATGATACTAGAATTTGAATCGATTATACGAGAATTGGTAAGATCATATTAGAATTTATATAGATTGTCCGGTAACTGAATAGATCATACAAGAATTTGACTCGATTATACTAAAATTGACTCGATTATACTAAGTTTGACTCAATTATACTAAGTTTGACTCAATCATACTTTGTAAAATGAATACGTTATCTTGGTAAAATGAATATGTTGCTTTGTAAAATGAACACGTTACTTTGTAAAATGAACATGTTCCTTTGTAGAATGAATACGTTTCTTTGTAAATGAATACGTTTCTTTGTAAATGAATACGTTTGACCCAATTATAGTAGAATTTGCTCGAATATACTACATTTTGACTCAATTATACTATAATTGAATAGATCACACTATAATTGACTCGATCGTACTAGAATTGACTCGATTATACTAGAATTTGACTCGATCGTACTAGAATTGACTCGATTATACTAGAATTTGACTCGATTATACTAGATTTGACTCGATTATACTAGATTTGACTCGATTATACTGGAATTGACTCGATTATACAAGAATTTGACTCGATCATACTAGAATTGACTCGATTATACAAGAATTTGACTCGATCATACTATAATTTGAATAGACTATACTGGAGTTTGAATCGATGATACTAGAATTTGAATCGATTATACGAAAATTGATAAGATCATATTAGATTTGTATAGATTATCCTATAACTGAATAGATCATACTAGAATTTACTCGATTATACTAGAATTGACTCGATTATACTAAGTTTGACTTGATTATACAAAGTTTGACTCAGTTATAATTTGTAAAATGAATACGGTATCTTGGTAAAATGAATATGTTGCTTTGTAAAATAAATACGTTGGTTTGTAAAATGAACATGTTCCTTTGTAAAATGAATACGTTGGTTTGTAAAATGAATACGTCTCTTGGTAAAATGAATATGTTCTTTTATAAAATAAATATGTTACATGGTAAAATGAATATGTTGATTTGTAAAATAAATATGTTACTTTGTAAAATGAATACGTTGTTTTAGTAAAATGAACATGTTCCTTTGTAAAATGAATACGTTTCTTGGTAACATGAACATGTTCCTTTACAAAATGAACACGTTTCAAGGTAAAATGAACATGTTTAACACTAAATAATTGTCTTAACAGAGAACGAACACAAAAAAATAACTAACATGTTTATCAAACCGAACAAACAGAGAACTAACATTAAATCTATCAAAGTTGTTCATTTATCACTCGATTGTCTTTTCAGCGAAATAATTACTCAAATCCTCTCGGACAACATCTGATTTATTGTTTATTGGAGACTCGATCAATTTGGCCAAGTACTTCACCCGCAGAGTGTCCAACTTGTTCTTCATGTGGACCTTTTTCCTCTGAAATGGACAATATAATGAACATCAGTTTAACTTGTAATATGCAACTCAAGTAAGATCTTGAAAATTTAGGATGAAAAATATTACCGAATCACTGCCTATCACAGGGAATGCGCAATCATGGCCATCTGCATGCACACAAACATATTTGGACATGTGATGCATCGCATATATTGCGCAGTCCGTTGTGTTTGTTGAATCTGCGCAGTGCATATTCACCAGTTTAAAGGTAAGCTTGTTGAACGCGCTCTTGAAGGGTTTCTTGTATGTTTTTTTGTACTCTCCAATGACCTTTTTCTGTTTGTTGATGCCAGAATTAATAATTGTTTTTGTTAAAAAAATAAAAAAAAAACTATATAGAATGTAAGTTGAAATAGGCAAGTCTTACCAAGAAATCTTTAGTTCCACCATACTTGTTTTTCATTGGCACTTTTCCACTCAACACTGTATCCATGTTATCAAGAATGCCCAGCCTTTTATTTTCAAAGTCCAAACAGTACAGGTAAAAATGGGTCTGATAATAGACTGGGACAATAAGCTGAAAAATAAAACAGACCAATGTAAGATGAACATGTTTAACACTAAGATGAGTATGTTTCACAATGAGATGAACATGTTATATTTACTCACATGGCTGATATTCTTGATATCATGTTTCGAAAGCCCTTCTTGTGTGAACTCGGCATCCATCCTCGCAGCTGCATCCCTCACATATTCCATCGGATCTCTGTTACTCATAGCTTGCAAGGACATTCCCACCTAGAAAGTATGTCAAATGTTTAGTGTAAGAGACATAGCGAGGTGTTAGTAGTTCATCACATATGGATTCTTACCATGACATTAGTTGTTAAACAGAATTTATTCTTATTTTTATTCAAGCTGTGGAATCTGAAATTCAAGTGTGCCGCCCAAGCATCAACAATTGTTGTTGAAATATACTCTCCAAGCATGAAGGTCTTGAAATCCTCTCTTGTGCAGGTCATTTGTAATCCTTCAAAGATGACT